TTCCTCCAACAGGTGGAGGAGAATGGAAGGCGGTGATGGACCTCCCCAGTGCCCTGGAAATCTTTGAAGGCACGACCTCTGGAGCTTCACCCAGCCAAGCTGAGTCCCACGGACTGCCAGACAACCTTCTAATCCAAATGTAGGGTTTCACAAGAGTGTTATGCTACCCGTTGTCATAAAAATAAAAACGAGAAACTCAATATCCATCAGTAGGGGTCTGGTTAAATAAGTTACAGTATTGCTAGTTCAAAGGAACACAGTGTAGCTCTTAAAAAGAATGAGGTAGATCTGTATGTTAAATAAAATAAAAAGATCTCTTAACTACACTGTTAAGTGGGGGGAAAGTCATATTCTGAACAGTGAATAGAGCAAGCAACCAGTTACTAAAACATGTGGGAGTGTGCATGCAACTCACTCCGGCATCCCTCATTTCTGGAAAGACAAACCCAACACTGGGGGATCATTACTGACCCCAGGGAGGAATGCTAGGGGGCCCACGATAGGAGGGAGATTCACTCACTTTTCACTACATGCTCTTTTAGACTACTTGCCTTTTTAGCATGGGTCTAACAAGATTTGTCAAGAGTCCACAATTTTACAAGTTCCAATTGTTTAAAGAAAACTCCAGTCTTTCCAGGCACACAGATCTGTCACTTCTCACTATAGGACCTTGGCTGAGTTAGTCCATATCCAAGCCTTGGTTTTCTCTTATGCAAAATGATATCATAATAGTAACTACCGCTAGGGTCTTGGAGGATTAAATGGAGTACTAAAACTTTAAAAGTGTTTAAATTTGGGGCAGACGTCAATACATGATACCTATTAAAATCGGAGTTGTTGACTTAGAGCAGCTGGTTCATTGTTTCCATCATCCACAAAGGAGAATAATGCACTGAAGGTGCTCCCTGAAGATGCACCTGCACTGAAAGGAGTCACTGATCTTGTCTTCAGCATAGAGGACACACAGGCACTTCTCCAGGATCCACATTGAACCTCTCCTAAGGGACAGGACCACTCCTTGGTCCTCGCCTCCTATCAAGTCTCCCTCCAGTAAGGCAGCCTTGGAGTATGCCAGGATGCAGGGAGACGGGAGCCACTTGCCTGCCCCCCACACCAGGTCCGCTCACACTCTGAAGCACAAGTCAGCACAGCAAGTTCCCCATTCCTGCAACCCCACTGTCCTTTCTCAGCGAGGGGGCCACAGATGGCAGTAAGATAAGAGCCATATTGCCTGTCTTGAACGTGCGACACAGCCGGGAAGGACATAAAGAGGGACCCTTGGGACCTTGCCTGGAAGGGCAATGGGTAACACAAGGGAACCCACCCATACCTGCTCTCCCCAAATCCCCAGAGTTGGTGGAGCTTGAGAAAGAAAACAGACTTTGTGGATTAAAGCGGAGTTTGAATCCAACTCCATGACATACTCATTGAAAGATTCGGGACCTCTCTGAGCCTCAGTCAAGCTATAAAACAAAGATGAAATCACCTTCCAGAGGGTTCTTAGTGCACAACAGGTACTTACTAACTGTGTTTCCCTCGTAGGAAAACCTGTATCTCACTAATGAATGAAATCCACAAAGATCTTGTACACGTCTTGAACATGTAAGGAGTGAGGGAAACCAACTCAATCGGGGACTGCACTATATAGGTCTTTAAGCACAGGAGGTAACATTCACATGCTGACATCATATAAAGGAAGTACACACCACCACCATGAGGGCAAGGTATCAAAAAAACAAAAAAATCAAACCTGAAACTCATCTACACTCTACAGCTAATGACCAATTCAAAGGAAAGGCAAGGGACGGAGGAACATGGTAAGGATTACCATGGGGTTGCTATCAACAAAATCCTAAATAGGAGACCGTTCAAAAGGCCAGGTTTTTCAATAGTAACAAAGGGGGGGTCAGATATGGAGGGTAATGTACAAATTAAGATGCTGAGAAGACCTATCACCCAACTGCACTGTTTGCACTGCACTAAGACCCTGATTAGAGCAAATAAATTTAAAAAAAGTTTTGAGATAACTGGAGAACACTGAATACTGATTGGACATTTGAGAATACTAAGGAATTATCATTAATTTTTTAGGGATGATGATGGTACTATAAATATCTTTTAGTGATAAATACTGAAATATCTGTGCCTGAAATAATATGACTTGGATATGCGTCCAAATAATCTGAGTTGGGAAGGGACTGAACTGAGTAAGAATGAGTCAAGAATGACCCTGAGGAGATTACTGCAAAGGTGAGTGATGGGGTTTCATTAAATGATTGTCCCTTTGCCACAGGCTTAAAATTTTCCACTTTTATTAAAAAGCTTGTACGTAAGCCATAGGCTGGTAGGGAATATTGACAACATGCATAACTGAAAAGACAGGTAAAGAACTATTAGAAATCAGCAAGAAAACACATGCAATCCAACAGGAAACGGGCACAGGCTGCAAGTCATCACAGAAGTGGAAACCAAAATAACAAGCTGGCAAATGGCAACATGGTCCGCTTCGCTTGCGATCATAAAAACACAAGTTAAAACCCGCCTCGCGCCCAGAAGTGTTGGTAGGGATGTCAAAGTGTTGGCAGGAACTCCTGCACACTGACTGAGAGATCATAAACAGGTATTAAAAAAAAAAAAAAAAAGTAAAACTCAGTAACGTTTAAAATACCAAACCACACAATTTGGCAAGTTCGCCCTCGGGCGCAGATCTCAAGGAACCGCTTGTGTAGTGGATGCAGGAAGTGCTAATACAGGACTGCTAGGATCGGAAAGAGAGACAGGCAGACCTGCTGGGCTTCCGGGTGGAAAACACCGCCCCAGTGACAGCGATGTTCACAGGAAAATTAAAGTTCCATCCCAACCCCCAGACCCAAGTGCCAATTCAAGAAAATACAAGCAACAGAGGGCCTGAGAAGAACGCTGCAGAAGTGCCATGAGCCAGGTTCAGGTGGTGACACAACCCAGGGTCTTCCACAAACACACGGTAAGGAAAGAAAGAGCTGGAGGAGGACGCGACGGATAGACAGAAACATCAGCGAGGGCTTCGATTCACGGACAAAGGGAGCAAAAACGGTGGTGGGCAGCGGCTGGAGGAGGGAGCAATGGGGCGTCGGTGTCGGGGTTCCATGGGGCAGAGATCTGGCTGGGGAAAAGGACAAGCTTCAGGAGATGGAGGGAGGTGAGGGTTGCACCTAAGGCCACCCCACCACATGATGAAGACTGACTAAGACGGTACATTTCAGCTTCTATTTTACTCAAGTCAAAACAACTGTGTTAAAATGAAAAAAGAAACACAAGAGACATAACCGATGACGACACAGGGACCTCACGTGGATCCTAATTTTTTAAAAACTCTAAAAAATTATGGAACAGTGAGAAATCTGAACACATTTGACGGTATAAAAGAACAAAGGGCAATGGAGGGATGATGATGATGATATCATATTTATGGTTTCCTATTTTATTTTTTTTAAAGATTTTAAGATCTATACAGAGTGGTCTATAAATGAAGTAACACCTAGTATCTGAATCAAAATAATACGTAAGGAGAAGCAGGTGTGGGTAACTTCAAACAAGACTGACCACCACTGAGGACAGTTCTATTGATGAATTTGCCTAAGATTCTTTAATCTATGGGCATCTAACATTGGACACAATAAACCTTTGAAATGAAGAAGCTATTATGAACACGTACAAGAGGACAAAATGCTCTCAGCATCGTGGTTTGCAATGACAAAATAATGCAAACAACCTAACTGTCCAGTAAAATGCGACTGGATTAAAATTATCATGGTACCTCGCTCAAGAGAGAACTCAAGAGTCAAGGAAGTGAATGAACCAAACCGGGCCCCCCCGCCCGACCATGGGGTTTGGCCCCCCCACTCAGGGAATGTCTGGCAATGTCTGGAGGCATTCTTGGATGTCGTGACTGGGTGGGGTGCCCCTGGCCTCTAGTGGGTAGAAATCAGGGGTACTGTTAAACATCCTACACGAAGCACAGGACAGCCCCCACACAACAAGTAATTGAAATCTTCCCCCTTAACTGTGGGGGATATATTCCAAGACTCTCAGTGGATGCCGGAAGCTCAGGATAGTCCTGAACCCTACATATACTCTGCTTTTTCCTTTATGTGATGCCCACGACAAAGTTTAATTTATAAATTCGGCACCTAAGAGATTAACAACAACAGCAAATAGAATAATTTTAACAATATACTGTAATGAAAGATGTGAATGCATCCTCTCTCTCAAAATACCTTATTGTCCTCTATCCCCTCTATTCTCCTCTTTCTTGTGACAATGTGAAAGGACACAACGCCCACGTGAGGAGATGGGGGAGGTGAGTGACGGAGGGGTTGTCATGTGGCATTCGGCTACCGATGACCTCCTAACAACGCTCCAGAGGAGGGTCATCTGCTTCCAGACCATGGCAAAGTGGAACCACAGACATGGGGGGACTACCCTAAGGGGGCCAAAGGATCAAGAGAGCCACAGTTTGAAAATCCTCTACTAGAACTGTCTGAGATACTCCTCAAACCACAACACTGACTTAAAAACAAACAAAAACGGGGGCAAGGAGATATATACAGGTAGCATCATCTAAGTAAAGGTTACACAAAACCAAGACTGTTGCTCATGGAAATTTATGTAGTGAAGTATAAAAACAGGAAGGAGAAGGCTATACACCGATTTCAGAATACTGACTATGGGGTGCAGGGGCATGAAATGTGGCCAAGGGGAGGCTTCAAATAGAATTGGTATCACCATGTTTATTCTACCCCTTCCCAGCCGAAGCAAAGTGTAGGGAAGGTTAATGCACGTGAAATCTGGATGGTGGGTACATGACAGCTCACTCTTTCGGTCTCCGTACTTTTCTATACCCTTGGCACTGCCAACGATGAACAAACTCAACAGCGTGGTTGTGGGCAGCAGAGGCTGGGAAGACAGACGAAGCAGGCAGAAGAGCGAGGCTGGGACCTTCCCAAGGGGGGAGCACTCACCGGTCCCCGCAGGTCAATGAGCTCCTGCCTCATCTGGGACACGAGGGCCTCCTTGGCCACCAGGGCCCTGTGCAGGCGCTCGTTGAACTCAATCAGCTCGCCGTGCATCTCCGCCACCTGGAACACACAAGCACCAAACAGTCAGGCTCAGAGGGAGGACCCACGCGCCACCCCCCAGCACGCGTCCCACCTTCTCCAGGCCTGCCCCTCGTCAGCAAGGCACCAGGAGGTTGTCAGGCCGGAGACACAACAGTGCTTACCTATAAACTGCGCAAACCCACCTCTAAGTCGAACACATCTGTGACTGGGTTGACATGAACACTACAGAATCAACGGTCCACAGTTTATGGTCAGGACAGGGCCCTATCAGGTCATTTTGGGCCTTTGGTTTCTATCCTTCACAGACACTTTTCTAGCCAAGGCTTTCTTCCTCATCCGAGTTGTGCCTGCCAAGAATCACCTGGCTAATGGCACAGGTGGAGCAACTGACCACTTCTGTTCCTCGGGGTCTTGGTTCTGAAAACCAGGAGCACAGAGCCAGAGCCTCGGGGCAACGGCGACAGTGACGGTGACAGATCCTACTGCGGTGGCACAACGACCCCTCAGTCACCGCTTCATCTTTGCCAGGGACAGCCCTTCCGAGTGCTCCTCGCATCTTCGTGACACGGGCTTCGTGAGGCAGGTGTTAGCATTCCCGCCTTACAGAAGGGCAACGATGTCACAGAGCTAGTTCAAGGTCATACCGCCAACGAAGGGCTGACTCCAGGGCCCTGGCTCTCGACCACAGGGCCAGACTCCATGATTCTACCACTTACACCGTGAGCACGTGCAGCCCACTTGGGCCTGCCGTGAGAGCCCTCGAATGTGCCCTCGGCTCATCCCAAAGAAATAAAAAGAGGTTGTCATAAAGTAGTCTATGACTGATGTACAGAATTGACCACAGGTCTTTCCAGCTGTCAACTTACAAAAAGCAGTGATATCCTATATGGTCAAAACAGAGTAATTTCTCTGATTACATGAGCGATCTTGTGGGGTCTTAAGATCAAATTAGACTACAATTTAAACATTTTAGAGAAATTTGCGATGTCATCTTGCCATGCTCTTCAGGAACCTTGAAAGAAGATTGTTGCAACCATCTTAAGGAGAACCCCTCGAGAACTGAGAGGTCAAGAGACCTCCCCCAGTCCTGTCCTCACGCTTTTCCTGAGAGATCGCCCCTCCCTTATACTCTAAGACAAAATTAGTATCAGACCACTTGCAATAAGTACTACATATTAAATATAAAACATACTGTCAGAATCAAGAAGGGATATAGGGAGACATTCTGTAGGAATAGAAAGGATCATTAACCTAAGTCTTGGGGCCTCAGGAGTAAGGGGGGGGCCTTTTTTTTTTTTAAATATGTTGTTATATAAAAGGTAAAAGGCACAAAAGGAAATACACAAGATATTAACATTAGTCAAGGGACAGATTTTCTTCCCATTATTTCTATTTTTCCTTACTTTTTAGTTTGCTAATAATGAACACACTCTCCCATTTATCAGTGGGTAGAACCACTTGGGCTCTTTAAAAGAATTAAAATTATTCACCTGAAGCTAAAGGCAGCCATGGTACAAGCAACACAAAATGCACCGGGCCCCCAACCACATCCTGATTCCTTCAACTTGCTCTATGAATCCCCACCTGTGCCCCACGTGCCCACCTCTTTCAAACCAGTGTGAAATGCAAAGTGAGAACAGCACAGAAGACATTCCAAGTACCATACAATTAACAACGGGAGAATAAGTCACTGAGACTTTAAGCAGCTTCTTTTTGTACAGACCTAAAATTAATGATTTCCCACTTGTGTTATTCCTTTTGTATAGTAAAAGCTCAGGATGAGGGCGCCTGGGTGGCTCAGTTGGTTAAGTGACTGCCTTCGGCTCAGGTCATGATCCTGGAGTCCCGGGATCGAGTCTCACATCGGGCTCCCTGCTCAGCAGGGAGTCTGCTTCTCCCTCTGACCCTCTTCCCTCTCGTGCTCTCTATCTCTCATTCTCTCTCTCTCCCTCAAATAAATAAATAAAATCTTTAAAAAATAAATTAAAAAAAAGCTTAGGATGATCTTCTTTTGGCCTTTCACAAACAAATACAATATCAGTAACGCCTCTGCGGATCCTCCGCACAGCAATCACTCAAATCCTCCATGAGCTTCCTCAGGGAGGAGAACGCATTTACCACACAGTAAGCAGGAAACACACAACTGTCAATATTACTGCTAAATACCTGCTACTGTACCCCCACAAAATAGACCTTTAAATAAATGCCACCGGCATTTCCAAAGCAAAGCAAGGTTTTGCTTTGTTTTTGTTTTGCTTTGTTTTGCAGTGGAAGCCAGAGTGTTAAAACAATTTTCCATAAACGCATAAAACAGTGGAACATCCCAGCTTGCAATGGTATTTATCAGGAGCTGTCAAAACCCTGGTTCTCTTTTGCAGCCAGAAGAGTGACGTGACCACATCAGACAAAGCTTTCATTTCCGTAGGGAACTGGGGGCGGGTGGGGGGCGGCTGGAATCGGGGGAACTGAGGAGATAAACTGATGAAATAATTCTGAGTAACCATTAGAACTGCGATATTCATTGTTACTAAGCTAAACTCTGAAACTCTGAGTTTCTAGATTAGATATCCCTACATACAGTTATTGAGACCAACAGCTTTGATCTTACATAAACCATGCTGAGCTTACTGTTCCTTGAATAACTCTTTCCAAGTCTAGTGTAACTAGAAATGGATTCAAGACTCCGAGAGCCTCAGAACAGGAAGCGGAGATTATAGAAACAAAAAAGCAGGCAGCACAACCGCTGGCTGGAGCTTCTATTAGGCTGTGAGGGCACTCAACAGGTCTCACCTGACCAGTCCTTGTTTTCAGAGCCACAGAGAGTCGCAGGGAACGAGACAGACAGACAGAAAGACAGACACAGGCTACCCTTCAGTCCATTCTCGCGCGGCCAAGCCGACCGAGTGATCCTTCCAAAGCAACATCCGATATCACCTGCTGTTTAAAACCTTCATTGCTTCCCACTGCTCTAAGGATAAATAAAACCCAAACATGCTCATGATCAGCCTCTCTAACGCCATCACCTGCCCCCCTCCCCAACATCTCAAGTCCCTCAGACCCACAGGTCTTCTATGTCTCATAAACAGGCTGCGCTCTAGAAGGTCACCCTGAGACAGGAAGAAGAAAGGCATATCCAGCAGAAGAAACTGCAGGCACAAAGGCCCAAAGGTGGCTGGGGCTGGGGCAGGGGCAGCTGAGACAGGCAGTTAAGGGCTCAGATTCTGGGGCAAGACAGGCCTGCACTTGATCCCTTTACAGTGTGCTCTGGCGCCAGGCTCTTAACCCTGAGGAGCCTAAAGCCATTCACCTACAAAACGGCGATTCAAAGCCCTACCAACTGCATGGGGCCACTGTGCGGCCGGAATGAGCTGCCGCACTTAACCAGCTCTGCACTGTGTCTGTGCGTGGCAAGTGCTCGGCGGAGGAGAACTGGTTGTACGGGGTGGGTGATCACATCCAAGGGAAATGGAGGACAGGGCTGTCTGCAGAAGCCAGATGGAAAGGGGCCACATGTGCTATACCAAGGAACTCAGCTGTGGAGAGAGACTCATTGTTCCTCAGTAAGGAAATGTCACCAACAGAATTGCTAACCATGTGCCAGGCCTGGTTCTGGGCCGGGGGGAGCCCAAGGAAGGTCATGGGGTTCACACCCTAGAGATCAGACAAACTTAGAGCTCACCGAGAGAGGAGGACTGGGAAAGAGGACGGGGCACGAGGCAAGGCCTCCCCCCGAGAGAACATTCAGGAGTCCCTCACTTCTCCCCTCAGCCTTGGCACAAGCTGGGCAGCCTCCCCCTCACCCCCACTCACAATGCCCAGCACCATTTGGAGAGGCAGCCTCTCAAAGTGCACAACTCATGAATTAATAAGGCGCAGGCACTTCTCAGTCACCTTTTGGGTTTTGCCCTTTACGGTGGAGAGAAGACAGAAGACTTCTTGACTCTAAGTCAGAGGCTGTTTGGCAACATCTATCAAACTTTTAAAATCACTCACCTGTGACTTGGCAAATCTCTGTTGGGGAGTTACCCAGCCCCTCTACTTGCACCTGTGCCCAAAACACCAGTTTAGCTCCAAATGGCTGGAACCTACCTAAATGCTCAGCCACACAGGATCAGTAAAATTTATCGGCTCCCCTGCCTCTGGCCCCCCGGCAGACAGGACTACTTGCTGGCTGCACTCCTTCCTGAAGGAAACACTCAGGCAGCCACACCCAACTGATCAGAGACTTGGCCCATGGATGACACCGACTTGGCATCCCTGGCATAAGGGATGGGGGGAAAGCGTCATCAGGAAGGTGACATTTGAGTTCGGCTTTGGAAGACGAAAGCTTTGGAAGTTCAGGAGACTGAGCAATCCATTCCAGCTGGAGCATCAGAGAAGACGATTTCCAAAAATAATGTGGCTGTGAAAAAGCTTTTAAGTCTGTGAAAATCCCAGGAATTATCATAATTACCTGCCAAATCACGAAAAAATTATAAATTAAAAAAAAAAAGCCTCTGGCATTTCCTTTGATATCGGAATGTTCTATCTAATCACATTCAAACAAATCATGCTTCTCCCTCCCTCAGCTACCTAATTAGACACTTCCCTGATTAACTAGACCAAGACAACCCCCAAATTTCAACGGCAACTGAGGCTCTTCTGGTCACATATCCCAAACTATCCGAGAACTTTCACTCTGAAGTCTCAGCATCGTTAAGTTTTATAAAATGCACAAGCTGTTCTTTGGTCCCACATACACAAGCTGCAGGGAGGGATCTAGACCCTCTTTCTGTGATGAGGACACTGCACCCAGGTAAAGACGAAGACCCTGCCAATGCCCATCTGTCTTAATCCACTTTTGAGCACCAAGTATGCTCCAGGCCTTTTCCAGGTATTACAAGCATCTGCTCACATGACCCTCGCTCGAATCCCTCCTGCAGGCTGGGCGTGTCTCCCTAAGGATGAGCCTCTAGGCTCCAAGACGCCAGGCTGTGAGACTAAGGTGTGGGGCTCAGGTAGTGGCAGAGCAGGATGGC